TATATATATATATATATATATATATATTGTTTCTAATATTGTTACAATTATGATGAAATAATCCGATAGATGGCAGGAGAGTAACTGGTATAACTATCAGCTATTAAATGTCCATTTAATAATCAACTAAACGGTCCCAGTTATTTCATACACTAGTACCGCCTTAGATTGATTGAGCACTATATAGTGGTGTTTATCTGAGAAAAAAATAGCTAGACTGTACTAATTTTTGTGAGTGATTAGCCAGAGAAGTTTGGCTGCTTTTGTATTTCGACTATTATGCATATTATTTGCAAAGTAGATACAGCACTTGTTAAAATATTTGATTATTACAGTTTTGCTGTAATAACAGAAAAACAATTAACAGACTAGAAAAATACCACACAATAACAACCAGTACATATATACATAAACATTTGCCTTAAATTAACTTTTGGGGTGAAGTTTGTGTAGGTGTTTCACAATTTCATTTTGTTAACTCATTTGAGTTTTTAAAATCTAATTATTGTTTATATAACTTCTTACAAAGCATTCTGCATTGGGGAGTAGCACATCATGTTTATTACGTGATTGTTAATTAATTGTGAAATAATGTGTGCTTTGCGTTGCTAAATATGAAGGAATCCGAGAACAATATTTTCCACAAGAATACATGCACGCTCTTATGAATTTTTTTTTTTAATGAAAGTTATACATTTATCACACTTATGCATTTTCAGAGGTCTCGAGCTGGTTGTGGTTACTATGTAACATTCTTATCTGCACATTTTACAGACTAGTAACTTCGATTGTTTAAACCTTTTGTGAACATCTTTTGAAATCTTAACAGCATATCTTTTAAACTAATTTGCATTTTAATGAAATAAAGTCTTTACAACTTTCAAATATCATTAAGAATTGTTCGGATATTTGTTTATAACAGCAGTGCCGTCCAGACAGGTCTTATGAAGCCTTGAAACCAAACGTTTTCCCTCTACCATTACCAAGGGCAACATCTGGTGAAGGAATCCCTTTATACTGTACCAACACTTGACCAAAACATGAGTTTTATGACAGCTTGTGAACTTTGTTTTGTAAAAATCTCTATGCTGCTTATGTAAAACCTGTTTCTTTTGATGTGAGATGGACATGTAAAACATGCATTGTAAATAAAATATTCTTTGAAAAAATGAAGCATATTTTTTATATAGTAATATATTCTTTAGTTATTATCATTTGACATTTTATGGATTCATATCAATAGAAATATTAAACT